AACGTATAAACAGAAAATATATCAAAATAATTGTCGGACTTAATCCATTTATATATATATATATATATATATATATATATATATATATATATATATACCCCCACTGTGCCTCCATGGATATCGGCTTGGATTGTGGAATCGCAGAGCCGAGTTCGAATCCAGGTTGAATCCGTTGCATTCACTTACGTGTTAATACCCTTGGGAAAGATGTGAATCCTATTCTTCTCCCTCCAGATATGGGTTAAATAGCAGGACAGACTGGGTTCTATAGCCTTGGATGGCAACTGGTCTAGGAGAAGGACAACTCTGAATTCAAAACCTGGGGGGGGGTTGTTTGGGGACCTTGTGGCACGTAGTGCACCAGGTCTCTGTATTCGGCCCCTCAAAAAGTGTGGATGGTCCTGCACGAAACCTTCACCACTATAATCGAATCTCATGTGCCGCTGTCGGGCTGTCGGTTTCCTGGAAACTGATTCGCTTGACCCTCATACGTCGAACCCGACGGGAGAATCGATTATATATATATATATATATATATATATATATATATATATATATATATATATATATATACGATTTCTCAGTTCATTGAGGATATCTGCACGAATTTAGTAAAAGACGCATAAGTCATGAAAAAGTACTTTATTTGAGAAAAATTCGCATGAATAATCTTGAGACTCTTCTTGACACATCTATTGAATGAATACGCCGTTATCTTTTAATATAAAGTCTAAAACTTTGAAATACACGAATCAGATGATCTTTATCTATTTCTGACACAGGTTATAGTAGACATCAGAGATTTTATAGTACAATGTGGGCGTAGTTTGACTTCCCACCTCGACTATGCATCTTATGTAGTAGTCCAACGTCTGAAGAGCTAGGTCATATATTTGGGGTGACGTGACCGTGGAGATTGGCCTCATAAGACGGTGCTATGTCCTGTTGGTAGATGTACGACCGTCCTTTGCTCAGACTCGCTATCCAAGGCCTCACAATCTCCTCAAACACCTCGTAATAGCCAGCAACATAGACCCTTAAAGCCTGAGGAAAGAAGTAAAGAGAGATGAATCTCACTCGTTGGTCACGTCCCCAGAATCATCACAGTTGCTTGAAACTTTGTGTGCATGATCGCTGGAATGTCCTCGGGGTCACTGCATAAACATTTGCCTTTCCCTCGATTGATCTTCTCGTCCTGATCAAAAAGTTTTCTCATTAGGGAAAAAAGAAAATGATGTAATGAATATGCATACACCTGGGTTCCCCCTCACAGTAATATGATTGGCTGGTGTCAGCCATAAATACAGACTGATGTGGAGGTACAGGGGACGCCTATTGAAGACGCCTGTTGCCTAGCACTACGACGAGGACCAGTCCATTACGGTTAGATTGTCCTACTCGTTTACAGTAGTGAACCACCACTTTGCTACCTCGAAAAAATATATCCCTTTCCGGAACATATAACAAAACTTTCAAGGGCTCTTGGTATTTCAACTTGCCCAACAAGTGCTTTGCACGAATCAGACGGTTTCTGCATCCCATATTATTGTATCGAAGTTCCTCGTGTAAAATTATTCCGATAGATTGCCTTGAAAACCCGACTTCCTTAACAATGGTGTTAATTGACTTTCTGGAGTTCTTATCGATAGTTTTCTGTGTCTATTTTACAAAGGCCGATGGTGTTTTTTGTTTTTTTTTATAGTATTAGAAACCTTAGCAGGTGTTTTACGTTTGGCTCCTGCTGTAGAATCCCAATCAGTGGCACTTCCTGTTCCTTGCGAACTATGGCAAAAAAACGTCCCTGCCATTTTCAGGAAGTGAGCAATCTAAAAATCACTAGGATCTCCCATTAAGGCAATGATAACAGAGTGTTTTTTTTTTTTGCCTTTTGCGTGATGCTTGTCATCATTTCTCGAAAAAAAAAATATGATTAGAAAATCAAAGCTATTAAAAGACATTTTCAAAAGAAAGTAAATGAACACAGGCACACACACATTATATATATATATATATATATATATATATATATATATATATATATATATATATATATATATATATATATGGTATCAAATGACAAAAAAAATCTTACATTTTGCCGACGCGTTTCGTCTTCCGACTTTTCAAGGCAAAAATGAAATCGAAATGTTTTTGTTGTTATAGTTAAATTAAAATCCAAATTTAAAAAGATAGACGCTTCTGTCTAGGCTTTTTTTTTTTTCTGGTTAATGTAAATTACTTTTATAGTAAGGGATTATTATTTTTTTTTTTTTTGTCCACAGAATTCATCTGGGAATTTAACTATATATATATATATATATATATATATATATATATATATATATATATATATTTGATGTATTTCGGAGGCAATTTTTTAATTTATGCTCGTCTGATTCCATGTTGTCTATTTTATATATAGATTTTCATTTTTTCTAATAATTTGGTAGATTTCCGGTAGATATTGGTAAATAAACTTTCCCATATTACATTCAGCTCACACTAGCGAGAAAATGGCTACTATTAGCCGGAATTCCGAGGGTGGGCTTAAACTTTCATATGCTGACTATGAAGGGATGTTACTACAGATGTAGAATCTTGCTAGCATTAATTAGAACTTATTATTATTAAATGCACCGTTTATTTCCAGGTAAACTGATATCTGAATGCTCAAAGGAAACTTCAAAAGTAACTAGTAGAGACATCTCTCAAAACTGGGCGAAATTTGGCAGTGTGGTGTTACCAAGCACCTGCAGAAAAAAGGGTTTATCCCCACCCCCAAGGATATAGTTGATACGTTAGGGGGTGATGCTCCTGCTTTATCAATAGTGCAAAAGTGAGCAGATGAATTTAGAAGAGGAAGGGTAAGTCTTGAAGGTGACACAAGGTTTGGTACTTCCTGCAACTGACACCACCGAAGAAAACGTTGATCTTGTTCATAACATGGTTTTGAATGACAGGCGGTTTACTACATATCAAACGGCCGATGGTATTAGCATATTCCGCGAGTGAGTTGAGAATATCCTGCACAATTAACTTGGCATGTCGGATGTCTCTTCTCGATGGGTGTCACGTCTTCTGAGACTTGAACTAAAGTTAGCCAGGCTGATCATATCACGAGAAAATCTGATATTGTTTGAGGCAGAGCCATCTAGTTTCCTTGAACTTTTCCTAACCCAAGATTAGTGATAGGCTCATCACTTTGATCCAGAGACAATGACACAAAACATGCAGTGGAAACACACTTCGTCACCTGTCCGAAAGAAGGCTAAGTTCGTTTGATCTGCAGGGAAGATGATAGCCTCAGTTTTTGGGAATTCAAAATGCATTGTTTTTTATTGACCATCTTCGAAAGGACCACACTATCAATGAGAAATACTAGGCCAATTTACTGAGGCAGTTACGAAAATTTATCAATATCAAACGCCCAGGAAACTGAGGAAAGGTTATCTGACAATTCTTCCAATGAAACCATCTCCAAGGAAGCCACCAAATCTTATGAAACAGCCTTAAAAGATAGTGGATTTTCGGTAACATATAACACTACACAGCACAACATAAAAACAGCAGGAAAATAAACATGATATGGTTCAACACACCTACAACAAAAACTTCAAAACAAACGTAGGAAAAATATTCATTAACTAATACGTAAACACTCCCGCTAACAAGCATTCTCCACAAGATATTCAGCAAAATCACAATAAAAATCAGCTACAGTCGTATCGAGAACATGACACAAATAATTAAAAAAGCTCTATAAAAAACACCCACACAAATTAAACCGACGTTTAACTAGCGAGCAAAGAACGAATGTTCCTTAAACGGCAATTGATTACAGAACAATGTAATATACCAAGCTACTATAAAATCAGCAGATGACAAAGAAATAATATCTATAAGAGTAATTGAAGGACCCTGGAAACTACGCACAAAAATAATAATTTACAAATAGTAAATACGCGAATAGCACAATGCTTTCTAAACATATACTGGAAATTAAAAATGAAAACCAAATCACAAAAAAAAAAAATAACATGGAAAATAAGGAAAACAGCATCAGCCAACAAGAATAATTTGCAAAAACTACAAACATTGTCTGCTTGAGAAAATGGATATAATTACCTTCCTATACCAACATAAATTAATAAACTAACGCTCAAAACTCACTTCAAAAGACAGGCACAAAAACAAATTTTTACTACGTTACTTAAAAACCGAAAACTAAAAAGAAGTAAAAAATAAAAATAAATAAAAACTAAAAGTAAATAAGTATAATAAATTAATCCAAATCAATCAATAAATAAATAAAATAAATAATAAAAAAATTTACAAACTAAGAAGACACACATAAACACAAATAAACATAATAATTATCGAAAACAAATAACAATGCAAATAACATTTTACATTATAAAATAACCACGAAACTGCATTCGGATCCACAAAAATTCTGATCAATAGCCCCCTAGAATAATTTGAAATATAATCATTACCCCCACATAATAACCGTTAGAATGCCAGAATGCATTACTAGCCAACATATATACATAGTCGAGCCAAAACATAACGCACATGGCCTGATGATTTCGTTTAACCATGAAACAGAGAATCGCCGCTGAGTGTTGACCTCAATGTTCACTTTATATATATATATATATATATATATATATATATATATAAAGAAAGACAGACACACGAAGAGATTGATTTTTTATCAATTAATTCGTTTTCTACAGCTTATAAACTGTTTTCAGGTTATTTAAAGCCAGAAAATACTTTTAGATTGTGAGTATTTGCTGCGGATAAAAAAGATTTAGTCTTACAAGTCTTACTAATTAACCCACAGCTGGGGAAGAAAAGGTGATTCAATACCTTTCCCAAGTGTATTTGCAAGTGATGGAATATAACGAACCCAACGGGAATTGGAACTTCCGGATAACAATTCCGAGCCATTATCCATTACACCACCCACATAAGCTGGTATTCCCAATACGAAC